TCTGAAAATGTGACGCCATCAACCAGCATCTTTCCATTTTATTGCGTAGAGAGAGAGGGAGGGAGAAAGGGGGGATTACTGAATTATCAGAGACAATTGGATAGCCTTTTTCTTTTTATAATGGTGCTGAGCCCAATAAAGAAACTTAATGGATATCTTCAGTTGAACACTGTGCTAATGTAATAGCCTGATCTCTGTCTCAGTTACAGCTCATGAGTCTGAGGGAATGCTGATTATTTGCTAATTAACTGATATAAATATGGATGGTAAAACCATTATTCAGAAAAATAACCTGCCGACGTTAATTTGCACATACAGAGAAATGTAAAATTGCAGTTTCAATAACAATACAATAAATTTAAAACATACAATTTAATTAGCAATGTACTGCTAAACTGTTCTCCATTCACCGTGATTGTGCAATTGTGTGAAGGCTCCAATAATAACCAGCTAGAAGGGTTCTCACGGCGTACCAAAAAACAAAAATGGTCTCCCTCTTTCAGAGCCGCTGTGACAACTTGAGCATTATGTGACGTCCCAGGAGACTCGGAGAAATGGGCCAACTTGCAAAAGCAATATCGCTCCAGCCACGAATAAATCACTGGAACCTGAAAGCTATCAGAGTTAGCGGGTTGCCAGGGGAAATGATTATGAGATTAACGTTTGGGGAAAGTGTGTTTTTGCAGCATCAGTCACAGAAGCGATTAAAGTAATACAAAACCTTCAACAAGAAGTGACAAGTGGGGGAAATAAAGCTCTGGGCAGCCGACGGAGTTATTTATAAAAGCCGATTGGGGCCGGAATGAGCAGCCTCTCTGTCCACCTGGTGCGCTGTCATCTCCATGTGGACGGGTCGCTGCTTCCCCCACAGCATAAGAGCTCTTTTAAATGTTCTGTTGGTAAAGTTCAGATAAGAAAATCAACATGCATTTGGTTAAATTGAAGAGATTGACTGAGACCTGTGTGCAAAGGCCTTTACTTTGAGGCACATTAAGCCTCGGGTCATACTTCAAAACGGACGGGTGCACAGACGGCTGTGGACAGCATGAATGGGAAGTAGTTCTTTTTATACCGTTCGCCGTTAACACTACGCTATCACTGCAAGAGTGCTGGCCATGCAGGCGGTAAGCAGACATCCGCACATGGCCTCCGCGTGCACCCTGCGAAGACGAAATGTACACTATGCAGAACCTCGTGTACGCCGGAAGCACAGCTCTGACTTAAAGGGTTCAGTATATCTGAATCTAAATGTTGTCCAGACCCATTTCCCATTGATGTGTAGCTGTTATGAACGGTCCAATTTGAAGTTGTCCTCAAAAGTCAATCATCAGCTCTTCTCCATCCAGGGACTTGCATCCTGTTTTGAAGGTTTCACCCTTGTTTGACCCGTGTGCTCTGTTACGCCTATAACAGTGACGTCACAGCTGTTCATCACTGCAGCAAGGACAGAAGTTAACACCCCATGAAAAGATTGTTCTTTCAGACCACCAGTGGTTTAACTTACTCTTCTAAAACATCATTTGGGTGTTTAAAATTTAGTTTTGTTGACTTTTGAAGAGCAAAACAGAGCAGGAAACATTCTTTACCCACAAAGTTATGAACCACAACTTTCATAAAAAGGTGCAGAAACGTTGATTTGGCTCCTGAATCTTTTTAAAACTGAGCCTCCAACATCTGTTACTAGTTTCCTCCTATTGAATAAAAGAAGTGATTTTTTAAGGCCTCAAAAGACTTGTTAATGTGCGTTTAATTACACATCTTCATGAACCATTTGTAGTTTTCAGGAGGTTTGTTTACACAGTGATCGGTCACATTTTTTTTTGTCTTTTTAGAGGTGAACATGCAACTGTTTATAATGCAAAGCTTCCGTTTTAGCATTTAGTCAAAGTGCTCTAAAGGACATGACTGACTGACAAACCAGAGCCAAATGTTATCGCTAATTTTGCACGAAATGCAGAAATGAAGAGCGGCTCCTCCAACATGGCGGAATGTTTTCATCGCTGTATTTAATTCATGTTCACAGACACGTTTTCATCCAAATATAGAAACCTTTTTATTTTACAATCTCAGCAAAAATATCATACCAATTCCAGTTTAATTGTACAGTTTGTTAAATATCTAAATACACTTTTACAGTTGCGATGTCAGTAGAAAAAAATATTGGAGATTTTTTTTGTATGAGATACAAAATGTACACTTCCCCTCACACACACACACACACACACGTGTACACGACATGGTGCGACTGACCGACGCTGGCTGCTGACATTAAAAACCTTTGCGCTTATAAAATAGGATTTCTTTACACTGCTCACAGAGTTTTAATCCACCTTAATAAAAAGTATTTTTATATCACAACAAGAAAATGACGGCACAATTACAATGGCTTTACTCCATAAACTGTGGAAAAGTATTGTGTTAATACTTAACCACAGTGGATGAAAGGTGGAATAAAGCAAATGTAAACAGACACCATTTAGATGAAGTCACAGTTTGATGTAATAAAAACATACTTTACATGTGCAATGGAAAGGTACCATGTACTCTAAAATGGTCACAATTACTACACTTTATTTTGAGGGATACAGTTAGCAACATCTTGGGCAATAGTTTTGTTCAATTTCTCCAGAGAAATCAAATAAATTATATTTCCGCAGTTTTGTCTTCTCTTAAGTTCAAATGAATGGAGTTGTTGTAGAGAACAGCGATGGCACAGACATTTAAAAACACTTGGACATCATCCGGTTCTCCTCAGATCCCCTGAATCTTTTCCCTCCCATAGAACATAATGTCGTCATTTCCTGAAGAGACTTTAATAAAGAGAGCTGCACTGACTGAACGCTGGAGGAACTGTGAGCTGTGCAATTTTGTTAGTAATTACCATGTTGGCTGTGAACCAGAGCTCATCAAGAAGTCAGGTACAGTGTACAACACTTACTGAGCTACTACTTCAAGCTGTAGTCATTTGGGGGTCTTTCTAACTGCTAAATGTCCCACTGTTTTCACCAGCTAGTCAGTGATTTTTACCTGTCTGCTCTTTGGCACTGGGCAGGTAACATACAGTGAGTTTATCAGATCATATTTGGTGAAAACAGCTTCCTGCTGCAGCTGGAAACGGGACAGGTTAGAATAAACTTTACAGTAAATCTGCTATGACACCAAAAATAAACTGAGCTAAAAGAGGCTAAAATGCTCCGGACTTGCTGGCATGTCAGCAGAGGTTTATGTGAAATACATAAATACACTCCAGCTGATTAGTGTGGTATGTGCAAGAATCCGCCATCGTTTTTAATCGAAGGTTTAGCTGACAGTTATAACAAGTTACAGTCACCCAAGGTGTTATTTTATGAAACACTGTGAGATGGGCTTGCCCAAAATGTTGCTTTGTGTATTCAGCCCTCTACACAACTTTGTCCACAAGTACAGTGTTCGTATTAAACAGTCACAACAGTCCTTCACAATAAGGTCACATGATTGAACAGTGCAGATTGCACTACTGATCCGAACAGGACACCCGAAAAAATAACTGTTTTAAAAAGAACGAAGAAAAGTAGAGAAGTTAAATCAGGGTCTAAAAAAAGGTCAGATGGGTGTTTAGTTTGGTCCTGTAGTGGAAACATGGCTACATTAATGATTAAGTGGTCTGAAGCAGCAATACCCACTCAACTCTTAACAATCTGACAACGGACAAGTTGTCCATGCGTGCAGCGATAGTAGGTCAGGTGAAAAAGGATACCGAAACATGAATTCAATATAAAACTCTCGTATAAGGATTGCAAAGTCAGGATTTTTTTCCCCCAGCAAGACAGGTGACCACGGTGAAGGAAATAGTGACTGATGGATTTTGCAACAGAAATATAAGCGATGTGACACACACATGAAATCATATGAGGACATTTGTAGTGTCTCATGGTGCCGGGTAGACAAATGTCGGCACCAGAGAGTTGAAGTTTATAAATAGTTGTCACTGCAGGCCACATGTAGCTATCTACTGCTAACTAGCAAGGCTATCTATTACAACATTGCTAGCTGTAGATAGCTATCTAGCGTTAGCTGCTTTCTCGTTGCTTTCCTTTCCAGAGATGAGCTAATATCACTTAATGTTCATTTGGAGAACCTATAAACATCAGCAAAGCTACATTTTTATTGTTCAACTCTGCAAAATGTGTTGCTTAGTTGAAATGACTGTAAAAAAACTGTAAAAAGATGGACGTTTGAGTTAATAATGATAATATCCTTCATATCATCGGAAGTTTTCAGTTTAATCTGTACAGACAAATGTAAATTGATCAAACTGATGTGTCCAAGCTAGCTTCATTTGTGATTTAAAAGTACCTCCACTGAGGCGTGTTGAGGATAGGACATTATGTTTTGGTCTACAACTGATTGTTAAAATCGAACTGAGTGCAATGATTAAAATGGCACGTACTGTACATTGTTCGGCTTCACACAATGGGATTAGAGAATGGGTTCAGGCGACAGACCTGAACATCACGTTGAGCAGGAAACTAAATCATCTTCAGCTGAACCACAGGTTTAAAACAAACGACAGAAGAACATTTCATTAAGAACAGAAAAACAACAGAGATTTAAAAAAGGTGGTAAACAACAACAACAATTCCCTTTCCCATAAAAGTACTTTGGATTGAACGAGTGGGAAAAGCAACACATCAGCATCATATCGTGATTAAAGGAGAACAGAGGTCTTCTGAGGGCTAGAGTTAACTTTTCAAGGCAGGAGGAACATATGGTGGAAAACAAAGTATCTTTAGCTCTATTCACAGCCAGCAGTTACGTGTGTGTGCATTGATACGAGAGTCACAAATGCTGATGTGGACATTTTGGACCACACACACACGCTTACTGAAAAATACACACATCCACATCTAGTCTTCTTCCAACAAGGCACGAAGATTTCATTCAAGTTTATCGTTACACAAGTGCTTTATGCATTTTAAACCCACTTTTGTCTCTGTCCCACAGATACCTCGGCGAGCCTATTCAGAGTAACTCTCCTATTCGTCTCCCCCTCCCCCCTACTCGCACTGTACTTTAAAGTGATGTGTCAGCTCGGCGGTGAATCAGCTGGCCTGCCAGTCACGTAGCTAGTCATCCGGGCGTCCGTTTGCAGTCCTGCCTGCTGTTTGGCGCCGTGACGTGACCCCGGCGCTCGGCAGTCTGCGACGGGGTCGTTCCGGCGACTGATCGGCGGAGACGTGTGGGGAGCAGCAAAGGGTGCACAGAAAGAAGGAAGGGGGGGGGATCTCTTAAGAGGTGTGACAGCAGCTCCCGCCACCCCACCCAAGTCCCACCATAACAACAAACAAGCCCATGGCCAGCGAGAGTTGGCCCACGCAAACCCGGGCGTTAGATAGCACTCGCCTCTGAGGAATGAAAGCAGAACGTGGCACAGTGACAAATCTGCAGACGACTCATTGATAAATACAGCGAGGGCAAAGGGACAGAGCGGAGGATAAAGGAGCGAGGCTGCATTTTTCTTTGTCAACTTCCACCTGCTACATTCAAAGCAGCTCGGCCCGCAGGGAGACGAAGGGCAGAGACCAGACTACTACAAGCCAAAGGGGGGGGGGGGGGAGGGGCAGTGGTGTATGAGGGTTAAAAAGGAGAATCAATTCACCAGGTGATTTTCAGAGTGGTTCTGCCTGGCTTCATGCAGGTGTCAGGATGACTTTGGCTCAGCAGGAGCTCCCCCCACCACCACCACCACCACCCTCCCCCAGGGAGGTTGTCAGAGCTGGAGAGACATAAGGGGATTTGAGAGGGAGAATGGAGAAGGTGCAGTCATGCAGGCAGATAGAGACGGACGCACAGACGGAGTCGGACCAGGAGAGACGGGAAGGGGGAAAGAGGTGGAGAATAAAGGTAGAGAGACAGAGAGGGGAAATACAGGTACAACAAAAAAAATGTGCGAGGGAAAGAAAGGCCATAGATAAAGCTCGAGAAAATTTGAAATAGAAAAAACGGAATGAGAAAAGAAAGGAGAGGAATGTCAGATAACCGATCGGCAGCAGGAAGTGAGACAGACCCGCCGTGTCAGAACATATACATCTCACACACAGAACCACCTTCAAACACAAACCCATCAATCAAGAGTGAAACTCAGTCTATCCTCCAGCTCAGGTGTTTAACCAACTTCCCCCACGGTATCCCATCCCGCCTCGGGTCTGAGCACCTCCCAAAGAGAAACAGCCGTCACCTCAGCGTCGGGTAAACGGGGAACCAGAGTTTACAGCAGCAGCAGCTCCACATCTGCGTGCGTCAAGAGTCTCTGTTTCTTTCTGGATGCTGCCGGGGCCTCAGTTGGTGCCCCGGTTGAAGTGCTCCAGCATGGTGCCGTTGGTTCTCTCGAACAGCCACTGCTGGCTGGGGGAGGAGGGGTCACACGTGTTCATGAAGACCCGCCGCTCGCTGGGGCTGCAGTCGATACAGCTCATGCTGACGGAGTGAAACAGACTCTTGTCCTGGAGGACGGAGGGAGGGAGAAACAGGAAGGATTGTCAGAAGAACTAAAGGAAGCTTTTTCATTTATTTTTTTTCATTTTAAAACCCATTGTCCTGACCGGCGCTCAGCGTTTTCTCCTCCTCTCTGTGTGTGCCAGTGTAGACGTACCTCTCCCCCTAAACGGAGTTGTTTTGAGGCTGAGGTCTATAGGCAAAGCATAACGCAGCCTGCGGAGGCTTCCGCTCAGCACCTCGGCCAGAGCGCAACCGACACAAGCGACGGTGGCGAGTCTCAGTGACTCACGAAGGACTAAAGCCAGACGTTTCTCCTCCTCCTTTGGTTTGATTTGAAAGCATTCATTTTTAAGGATTCTGTAGTATTGTTGTTTTCATGTTTTCTTCAACATTTTGCTTTGAGATGACCATTTTCCAAAGCATGAAATAACATCACAGTGTGGTGATGACACTTGAATCTTACCCATTTAACAGAATAACATTGAGCAACACTAAAATGTAGCAGACATGTAAGGACATGAATATTCATTAATGCATTTGTCAAACTTTTACATTCTGCGGTTTTGGCCGGTCTTTTTGCTTCTACGTGTATATTGCAGCAAACAAGCTTGCTTGTGTCGTGACACTTCACTAGATGCTAGAGGTGTTACAAAAATACAAATGTGGCCTCCTGGATGGCATGTTTTTGTTATTAATGGAGCTTAAACGCAGCAGCGTAATGAGGTCCTTTGAATATCCATCAGCTCGAGGGTAGGGACTGTTTAAATGTGCAGAACCTTATAGAATGATTAAGCAGCCTTGAAGTCATTTATTTTGAAGCAGTTGCGCTATTAGCTTTGTTGCTTCGTACAGAAAGAAGGAAAGGGAGGGGGCGAGAACAAGATGAGAAAAGAGAGAGACTGGTGCACAGAGATAATGTCTTTACAGTCAGGGCTGCCGTACCTTTCTGTAGCGCCACAGCTGGTTCCCCTTCATGCCGTGACAGTCGTACAGGGTGACCGGGCTGTTGTGGGAGACGGCGTCGAAACAGACTTTTTTAGTGTGCATGGGGTCGCCCACCCGGATGTCCTCTCTCCATCCGAACGTGAACACCTGCGGGAAACCAATCTCAGTGGTTCAGAAGTCACGACGGCATCGTATAACATGAATAACTTAGATGAAGACTGTGTCGCTGTTGTTGAAAGCTAGTAAGTGGACCTTATGTTGGGATTGTGAGGTCAACAGCAGAGAATGGACTTCAGTGCTTCACTTTTAAGCTAGCACGGCGATGAAGCAGCTACTAAACTCTCGTGTGGAGAGATCTATCCTCAAAGCAACTCAACAGTCACCTTCTTTCTTTTCATTGGTTGAAAGTTCTGGAAACAGCTGGTAAAGCGTAAATACAATTTTTAGCATCTGCGTAGCGGCGGGGGTCCAAAAGACGTGAAATCTTGTCATTTTAATAAAAAAAGCTCTCTTATTAATGTAAAAAAAAAAAGAATCTTGTCAATCTGTGAGCTGGAGGAGCGACGAACACTCGGACATCACCGAGACTTCCCGTACGAGTTCCTCCGCTGCTCTCGTACGAAATCAACAAGGACAGCTGCCACGGGGCCCCCTGAGATTTTCAGTGAATCAATTTCTCGCTGGAGCCGAATACAGATTGCAACTGCGACACAGATTAAAACAATGCATCTTCAGATTAAGGCAATTAAAGTGTCGGAGCTCCGAGGCGCACTATTTCAGCTGTGGAGACAAACTGAGGCATTCAATCCATTAAGGTTGTGTGATGAGCTCGACTTAAAGATCTCCAGTGTGAAGAAGTCCGTCAGAACAATGCAAAGATAATGAAGCAGCGCAGCACGTGTGTGTGCCGTTTGTGTGTCTGCGTAAGGTAATTTGACACGGATGCTTGTTTAGTAGATGAAATACTTTTACTCAGGAGATTTATTAACTCAGGGTTAATCTCAAGAGATAAAAAAATGTGACAATTCCTCTTTGAAATGTGCACCACACTCTGCAGTGGTTCAGTTATGTTTGAGGCGTTCCAAAACAAACCCAGATGTGCCAGGTGGATGAAACAAGAGGTAGCAAATATTTTAGACCCGATCTTACAGTAGCTGTAGAAAGAACTGTCATTAAGCTTCTCATTAAGAAGCAACTGTAGTCAAATAGAATAGCAACAGTTAAAAACATGAATCGGCCTCAAAAAGAGTATTTCTCCTTTGTGATCATGATGACACGTCACATGATCAGAGACTCTGCTTTGATTCATTCGGGTATCAGACATATTGACACACAGACCTGAGACTTTATTAGACCCAGGGTGGGTCTCAGTTACTGGGAGCCAACCGGCCCCACAGAGACCTCGACCCAGAACGCTAATACATCTGATATTCCCCTGAAATTAACCAAAAGAAAAACAACACTGAACAACAATGTCACGTTAACCAATTGTGGCTCTGCTGCTTTTACTTATTCTAAGTATTTAATAGAAGTAATTATTACTAAAGGTATATTTTTGCATCATCTAATTCTCAGGTTCTTCAAATAAGGACTGAATGTACATTTCTGAACGTTCAATTGTAAAATAAAGCCTGAAGAGTTTGAACAAGGCTAATTATTAAAATGTAATATTTTTGCTGCTGACCTGTCCATGGCTCCAGCTCACATCGCCCCGGCCCTTCACACAGCTCTCCAGGCGGATGGGACTCCCTGATACAAAGTGTTTACTCTCCATGCACATGCTGCTGCCCACGTTACGGATCTGTGACACGAACAAGGACACGAAGGACAGTCATTCAGTCTTCTGAGAAAAAAACCCCCATAATCACACAGGACATTATGCACGAGTATGCTGAGGCAGATTCCAGTTTTAGAATGAGGGCCTTAGTTCGGCTTATTTCGGGAGGCAATACCACTCAGATTATCCTCTGATTGGCATTACGTAAACGTGCTCCCTCCTCTCTGAGAGCAGTCGCACCAGATTTCCGGGCAGCAGCCCGGTGCGACAGACAGACACGACTATTAGAGCCAACCGGCCAACATTTTCTTGACAGCCTCATCAGTTATTTTAGAAGAAGCTGCTACAAATGATCCAGACTTTTTGATCCGATGGTTGTATTAAATAATCAAAACAGAAATGTTCAGCACCTTGAGCACAGCTCGGCTTGATAAATGACGAATAGTATTTTTTTTTTTTTAAATGTCATATGAAACAAAAAACGAAAACAAATAAATCAAATATCGACACTTGGTTTCACAACTTCGTCATCCTGTCCAACTGACTGTCATTCCAAATGAATGAATGAAATTCCTGTTACGCAACAACAACGTAACACACTGGCTCGTTAACAACCAATGAGAAATAATCAAACAAAAAACTGCTTTTAAAGGGAGTCGAGAGGAAGAGGCCTCGGATGGTTTGTTATCTTGTACTTCACGGTGTCATGGTTTCAGATCGGAGCCGAATCTCCCTCACTATTTAGTTTTGTGTTCGAGGGATGAGAGCCGACTGTACCTCCCCCCACGCGGCAGCAGGAGGCTCCACCGGTGGGTAGTGTTTGGGCAGATCCCAGGCCACCTCGCTCATAAACCACTTGAAGTTCTTGCAGTTGAGCTGGTTCCTCAGCTCCTTCTGGGCCGTCATGTCTCCCGCGGACAGGTGGCGGTACTCGGGCCGACGCTGGTAGATGTATTCGGCGTACTCGTCCATCCACACCTCCGCCACGCGCTTCAGGTTCTGAAATTGGAGTGAAACCGTTTTGTTAAAGCGTCATTTTTTCATTTCAACAACACTGCAAACAAAGAAGTCTTAGGAGTGCAAACATCACAGCCACGGTGACAATCGTCTCGTGCCTGCTAGGAAAGAAAGAACAGGGACTAAAGGGTCTGGTAGGGGCATCATCCAAAATATCTTTGTAGCTCATCCAGTCTTAAAATGAGAAGCAGATGGTTGTAGTTCCTCCTGTGATGACACATCTACGTGAACACATTGCACAACCAAATTTGCTCGACGGTCATTAGGTTTGAAATTGTGCAGAGTAGTTAACCCTCTACAATAGATGGTGTAGAATCTATTTAAACCGACAGTAACTGAACTCCCCCCCCCCCCTCCCCCCCTTTGTGTTACAGCGGAAGCAAAACAAAATCGGCTCCCAAAACATTTGCACGGGAGCCGATTTTGTTTTGCTTTTTTTTTTATTTATTAGGTGAGAAGTACCTTCACGTTTTGTATCTCAGGTGCACATTTTGGGCTCTATCTTCATCTTTCAATGTCTTTTTATGACTGCATTTCTATTGTCTCATAAGTGTTTCTCACGAGACTGCGAAGCAGGCAACTTGGAGTTAACGGCAAAAAGCTGTGAAATTTCAGGCAGTTTTATGTCAGCCAAAGTGTGTGCGAAAGATTATGAAAGCACCTGGCTTCAGAATGAAACTGAGCGGAATAAAAAAAAAAAGAAAAGAAAAAGATGAGCAGGTGGCTGAAACTGTAAGCAATGATGGCTGCAGGGCAGAAATCTTCTCCAACAGGCTCTTTAAGCTCAGACAATTGCAAACATGAAAGATTTACACTCGAGTAATAGGAAATCCATCCACCGGAAGCCTCTGAGAGGTGAAGCAGTGATAGCAGCATAAGAAAAAAAAAAAAAAAAAACACGAAGCCGGTCGGCCTCTGAGGGACGGACGCATGTCTGAGAATACAGATGGTCCCAGCCTTGGAGGTACGGATGTCGGAGTGAATGCGAATACAGGTTCAGCGAGCCTCCCAGGAAAGAATAAATACAAATCGTCCAGCAAAAAAAAGAATAAAAAAAAAAAATCCCTCGAGCTACAAATACACATTCACACAAACTCTCTGCTGCAGAGCTCGTTGCCTGCAGCGAAACCTGGGCTCTCCAGGTGAAGTGGAGTTCAGTGGTTCCATCTCCCTCCATATTGACTGGACTTCCTCCCTCTACTCACAGATGTGGAATGGCTGATGCGCACGCACGCACGCACGCACGCACACACGCACACACGCACACACGCACACACACACACACACGCTGGATTGTCTGTGAACGTGTCTGGAAGGCCTTTGTTCGTATTATCTGTACCACCTTATGAATGCCAGTCCACAATTCAGTCACTTTTAGCTCCGTTTCTGGCTCTTTAGCTGCTAAATGCTCCAATATATCGCCAACTGTGTCTGTCTGTTGTTTGGTGTAGTCTCATCCACTCCTGACAAATACCAAAGAAACAGAGAAGGACACAGGGGACGTATTATAACTCCTCACAGCCTCAGCTAAAGGAAGTTTTTCAGTATTATTAAACCGGCTGCCTGTTTGACATCAGCATTCAGTGCAGCCTCGGTGAGGGGCTAATGGTCAGTCCAACGAGGCAAAAACAGAGACCAAGAGGTTTAATTACACATTCAGCCAAGCCAAACAGAGCCAGGTGTCAGACTGAGGCTGACTCATGCATAATGAATAATGTTCAGCTCCAGGCCAGATTAACACTTTTAAAAAATTCCTCATGTTGTGTCGAGGTGCTGGAGCTCACGTTGAATAAAGAATCTCGAGCTCACTATTTGAAAACTGTAAGTTGTATATTGAGGACACAGGGGTTTGATTTGTACCCACAATGCAACTCAGAATACAGACCGTTCGGTCGGGGATTTGGTTGTTATGCTAGTAGCGGGCTGATGTGGCCCCATGCAGATAGCCTGCAGCAAAGATGAGGAGCGGGCTACAGGTTCAGAGTCCATGGACAAAGGAAGCCAAAGATATATGGATCAAATCCCAAGCAGCCGTACAGGAACTTTGCCTGATCTACCATTTTTGATATTATGTGCCATATATATCATCACATTTTAGTGAAAGTTTGAGGTGTGCAAAATGTCTAAGATTGTAAAATGCACCGTGCATGCTGAAGTGCATCGCTGCAGTGACAAATATAATATAATAGGTTTGATTTCATTTCAGCTCAGAGTCATTTACTGTCACGTATATTATTCTCCTCTCCTCTGAACTCTCTGTTTACAGCTAGCTTGCTGCTCTCGCTAACAATATTAGCTGCTCTGTTTCAACAATAGAAGGCTGAAATTCAGCCGTGGTGTTGTTCTGTAGGGCAGATCTGACCGTTGGTATTAATTGATGAAAGAGTAGCCATGTGCAGCATTTAAGAAATTGAGAAGCATTGAGAATCGTTGTGCATTCAAATGGTTGACAAGTGAATCGTAATCAAATCGCGAGGCTAGTGAAGATTCAACCCTCTTTTTGATACGCAGTCGTTTTATTTCTCAAAATCTGGTGATATAAGATGCTGACATCACCGCAATACATTGAAGGTGAGTGCAATTAGTGATGCTTTAAGTAGCCGGAACACACATTTGAAAAGACTCAAAACATGTCATTCTACTCAGGCTGATCCACAGACCTCGCTATTCACGGTTCACATTTGGAACTATTTTTTCTGATGGTAGGACATAAAATAATCTGTTAATTGCCATGCCATTTACTTCTACACATTCAATGTAAGGATTTGATCGTGGGATGCTGCATGCATAGAAACATAAACAGGCAAGGCAATAAACCAGACATCCTTGCACGTCCTTGTGTCCACATTAACACGCTATGAAACGATCTGAGACTCACCCTGGCCAGGCTGACCCCACCAGGAACTTTGTAGGGGACGTACTTCCTGTAGATGTGTCCTACCCTGGAGCAAGGGATGTCCTCCATCCGGCCACCACACATCCACACCTACAGAGAGAGTGAGAGAAAGAGATTCAGCAGTGATAAAAGACAATATCGGGTCAAGGTTGGGTCGAAGCTGCTGCGCTGGTGTTTGTGTAACTGAAGAGTGTGAATATCCGACGAGGTCAACAAATCAACAGAGATGAATCAAAGTGTGGAAAAAGGCAAAGCGTGGGAAGACGTTGTGAAGAAACAGCAATGTGGATCCAACAAGGTTAGGATGTAAAGAAAGGGAGAGATGGAAGCAGTGGGAGGATGTCAGAGGGACATGAGGCATATGTATTCTGTATGTACTGGTTTGTTGATGGGATCATCTTAGCAGAGAAGGATACAAAGGAAAACAATGTCAGAGTAGACATGTACAGCCAGACTCATGTTTACGACCACATCAATATTATGTTAGGTTAGATAACAAGCTTGAATAATTGCAGATGTTAATCTTCTTTTATGGAGGGTGCAGGAGTGAGAACACCATTCACAACAACTCCACAAAATGACTCCAAAGTTCATGTGTTTGTAGATTGCGGAGAGAGCAGAAGACATCAAAGGGAACAAGTCAATCATGCTTAGCTAAATGACAAAGACTGCAATTGGATTTGTTATGCTTACTTCTGAAAGGCAGCGCCGCTTTATAGCTCCACAGGGTGTGTTGTTAGAAATTTCAAAGATAGATTTTGGGTGACGTATAACTTTAAAGTCAATAAGAACAGCCTGAGGTGAGAAGGTCAGACAGCAAAAGTTTGTTTCAGATAAAATAATTCAATACATATTTAGAATTTCCTCTTTCAGCATCTAAAGAAACACTTATTATACTGCAGAAATCTTTGAAAGTGTGACACAGCTAAGCCTTTTTTTTTTTTAAATCAATTAATTGTAATCGTTGAAAACTGTTGGTGACATCATCAAAACATGTTTGGGTGTCGGAGCGATTCCTGCACTCAGTAAGAGTTTGTTTGAGGTGCTCTTTTGGTAAGGATACAGTACATGTAGACAAGAGAACCACAAGAAAGATACAAGGCACTAAACTATTAGAATGCCTTTATTGTAATGCTTAGTCATGTCGGACCTAAAGCCAAAGTCCATCGAGCCCACGTCAGGGAGTCAAACACAGTATAACACAACATGGAACCTGTGAATGTTTGGCTTCTTGACTTGATAAAGAACTTAAATGGTTGATTATCAAAATGGTTGTCCGTGAATCGAATAATCATTTCAATTCTAGGTAATAGATTTTAAAGACAGAAATGGAAATCACCAACTTGACCCCCTTTTTCAACCGATTGTGCATCAGCGTATTCTCTATTATTCAAGAGAATCCTATCCAATGTTTAAAACTGTGATGCAGGAGTTCTGGGTTGTTCTTTCTTATCTTGACCTATTTTGCCACCTTACAGCTCTGTCCTCCACCAGCTCCCACATCTCGCAATCCTACTCCTACTTCTGTCGTGACTAAAATCTACAAGTTCTAGTTAGGAAAACTGCTTCGATATCATCTACATTTCTCAAGGCTGGAGGCTTGTGTTGTGTTAACAGGTTGGAGGTTGGAGTCTTTCTCAAGGACGCAGACCGGCCACCAGAAGCTCAGTGAGTCAATAATGTGAAAAAAAAGTGTTAGTTCCCTGATTGACTTTCCTTTTTGATTATTTCCAGTAAGTCTGTTATTCTGCATCATTCCCCCTTCCTGATCCTCCAGAGTGGACATCAGCTGGCTTCCATTTCAATTCAATTACTCCTTGTCAAGTTTGTTGAGCCAGTCCAGCTTGGACAAACAGGATCGGGGGAAATAACAGATTGAATCCACCCTCTCCACATCTCGCTGTCGGCGAAGGTCTGACCTGCTGTTCCGATCCCTCCCACCATCTTTATCCCAGAGTGAAACACTTGAGCTTAATAACAGGGGCGCCTCGCTGCAGGCGGGATTGAGAGTTTGAGTTCAGCACCAGTCGGATTAAATTGAAAGTCTTATCACTCGCTTCGAACCTCTAACATCCGCTCACCTCAAATTATGAAGGCTAAAACCACACCATCAAGACACGGGACACCTTACAGCTCTTCTCAAAGACAAGTTACTAAATGCAATGGAACTGGTGCTAGACAATATTCCACTAATTCGACCCAAACAGCATCGAATGCATTTACATACGTGTGATTAATCTGACTCTATTTCTGACTGTCTGCACTTCGCTCATTTAGCACCTACTGCTGATATCAGCCCGCAACATAGTCTGTATATAAGAAGTGGACGTAGTCATGTTGACGTCACCCATTGGTTTGTGGACTGCTGTTTTGAAGCCTTGAATTCGACGACGCCATGTTGGCTTTTTGCAACCAATTAATGAAAGTTACCATATTTGGAATGCGGAGGAGTGACGTAGAGACGCTGTATACGTCTCTGGTAGCGGCAGAGACCTGTCAATCATAAGGTAGCCCCACCCTAAAGCATACTCTGCTTTATGGTCTGTTTGACTCTAAATGGACCATAAGTTACTAAATGAACATCATGCTGTATTGAAGAAGACTTGAAACTAGAGATTGAGAACATAAACTCATGTTTACTGAGGTAATAAATCAAGAGAGAAGTAGAGTCATTTTCTCATAGACTTCTATACAATCACACTTCTTTTAGCAACAATAGGGAGTCGCCCCCTGCTGGTCAGTAGAGAGAATTCACGTTTTAAGACACTTCCGCATCAGCTTCCCTCGGCAGAACCGGAGGTAGCCGAATGGCCCGGAAGCGTAGTTCCCAGTCCCCCCCGGTTGACACTGTTCGCTCTGTCAACACTGTTGCCGTTGTCTGCATTGTTAACGCTGTTAGCACCATTCGTGCAGCTAGCACTGCGACCATTTCATCTCAGACACTCTTGATGTCATGCATTGCACCTTTAACGAATGTGGAAAAAGAATGGGTGAATCCAAAATTTAGAAGGTTCTTCCTTGGCCCATGCTATAGCCTGTTTTTCTGAAATCCTGCACATAACCTCCATGGCGAAGGGAATTAGCAAAACAGAGTAACATAATGTGAATAAATTAACATGACGAAGCAGCAGAAGGTGAATATAACAGAAATGTTCAATCAAATCAAATTACCCAGCAGTGGCCTTTGTGCTGAATTGAGTGAGACGACAAAAGTCCTTAGCCGTTCAAACCAGAATTCAATTATTGTGACGCGCCGTTTTGTCCGTCCAGAGCCCGCTGACGGAGGCAGCAGAGGGGGAAGACTAGTTCTTAACATGCTGGCCAAGTCGCGAGCAGTTACGGCTGCACGATAGAATAATTCATGCTGAAGCACCAGACAAAAGCATGATCTAATATGGTATTCTGAATATGATTAATGTAGAGAGTCCTCCATGCAGCAGAGTATGTTCAGCTCAAATGACTGAAACAAGAGTGGAAACCATAATGAGGAACGTCTCATGGGCTCAACATATTTTTTTCTTCTTTAGCTATTTAGTTGAAGAGCTGTGAATAAACAAATGAATCGTTAGGAGAAACATGTGGAACACTCTTTCCTCCTTTAAAAAGCAATGCAGTGTCACAATGTAGATGCATCTCAGCTCTAAATGAGTAATTGCTCGTTAAGTAGGAGCTCTGGGAAAAAACAAGGACATACAGTACATCATGTGTGCAAAGATCCAACAACCCTGCCAGTCCCATTCTGTGATGTACTGTACATAAACACTGCACAATATGAGCAGAGTATTTAAAATAACAACTATCATTACAGCACCAAGAAAATAATGTATCCCATAATAGCTAAATAAATCGTTCTCTCTATATCTATCTTAATTAGAACTGCTACTATAAGTGCTGCTGTATGCAAACTAAGCATGCAAAAGATATGAGTGTGCAATTAATGGGAACTAAAATATTGAACACACAGCAGATGGTGATCAAAATCTAATCAATTAATAAATCAGTCAAAACTGTTCCATATTTATTCATACAATGTAACTTACAATAAAGAAAGTTTAGCAAAGTTAAATATTGCTCACGTTCATAACAAAAGAACACACAGTTCATAGTGCTCATTATATTCTACATGTATCCAATAATAGTTTGCAATATCCAGTAGAAATAGACTGACTCCCAACATAAAACATGGAAGGACCCTCTCACTTTATGGAATTAGAGACACACATTCAACATCCTCACTAAGTGACACTATTACATATGTTCTACACTCATCCGTTACAGTAGCTCCGTGTGAGGTGGTGTTGTGTGTTCGTGTTTTTACCTTGAAGGAGATCTCGTACTGTTCTCCTCCCCAGATCTCCAGCCCCGAGTCATATCCTCCCAGCTCCCAGAACCACTTCCTGTCCACAGCAAACAGTCCACCTGCCATCACCGGTGACCTGCAGGACACAGAGGTTTACACAGTCACTCCCAAAATGTCAAATGTGAAGAAATTCCCTCAAGGTGTTCCTGAGATAATGCGTTCAAGAGAAAGGACCGGACAGACGGACAACTTGTTAGAGGAAGGGGCGTCAGGAAGTGTAATAAAAGTGTGGACAATGTGACATTTAAGGTCCATCTTTATATCATCACAACCAAAATGCACATAAGATGCTCTACTCTGGGTGCTGTTGCATTTAGGATAACCGTTATGGGGATTATTGGTTGTTGCCATGGAGCGCTGCATGGTTGTCAGTGTGTACCGTGTGTGGGTGATAGTAACAGAGGCAGCGCTGAGAGTTCTGGTTGTATGAAGATGACTGAGGGATCGTGGACAGAGTCGGACACAGAGAGAAAGGGAGGGCCGAGTGTGTTCTCCCTGAACAATACACACGCAACAGCTTTACTTTATAGAAAGCCGAAACCTAACCCTGACCTGAATATCAACATTTCACACACTTGCGTCATCACCGGCAGGTATGTGACACATTGCATTGTGGGGGGTTGTCTGCAGAAAGTTGTGGACGTGCTATTCATGATACTTTTTTGTTCCATTGTGGGTTTTTATTTTAAAGCAGGTAGAGTAAATATAGTGCCAGAGACAGAGACTGTGTTTGACTGTCTCAGCAGAGGAGACGGAGTACAGTGAAGCAGACTGACATGACAAATGCAGTAAGGACAGGGATAATAATATGAAATCCAGATATATTTGTGTGTCTCTCTTATCTAATATTCTTTGTCCACCGAGGAATAGTCCAAAGGACTTCTTTTCCATTTTGTTTTCACGATGTTTGTGTAAAGGACAAAATGACGAAACTACCATGATTTAAGAGCCAACTTTAAAGCCTATAGGAGATGAACATCTAATAATGAAACATGTTCAACATATTTTCACTTGGTGGTGTGCTCTGCCAGTGCACTGACATGATGTTGATCAGGGCGTCGGTCCACAGATTAAATTCTTCTGATGGTACACACAAAAGAAGGTGTGTGATTCATGAATGTGATTACTGTGCTCTGCCTTCACTCAATTTGTTTTCCTTTAACAAGCCAGGTTTGTACACAGGCTCTCATGCTGCATAGCTCAGGTTGATAATATAAACTGGTAAATAACAAGGACCTATTTCTGACCAGATTATTGAATGAATCAAGAGAAATGCAGTTCTGACTAATATTTTATTACCGTTTACAGGCTGTGAGTCAGAGTCTGCTGTGGGCACCTGCATGTGTTTAGAAACCCAGTGACAGTCTGCACAGTGCAACACTAAATAACCCATCTCAACCGTAGTGAATTCTGACCTGTATGACAAACTACTTGAGAAACATAATGGTCCTCAGCTCAGAGTGCAGAGGGAGCTCCTCCCTCCAGAGGAACTGAATGTATTGAACAGCTTCTCATCCGGGCACCAGTGGGAGAAAGAGAGAGAGGAGGTCTCTGTATCGATCTATGCACAGAGGCGTGTTATGGGTAGTAGCTATTGGTCACAGAGGCTCGCCAAGAGGTGGACACCTTCCAAATCTCAACAATGCCTTGTGTAGACCTGAGGACTGAGAAACGTGATTGGTTGGTCCAGCTCCAGTCTGGTTTTGGGTTAATAATGGAAAAGAAGAAAACGTGTAAATGGTATACGCCAACTCTGACAGTGGTTCGTCTGTCTGTCGATTCAGTGTAATCTCAGTTTGAGGAGAATTAACATGCAGAAATAGTTTGTGTTTATTAAAAAACTTTGAGCAAATAAACTGAGATATAAAGTGAAATAAAGCAAAGAACTTGACATTCAATCACAACAGACACGGGGCTACAAGGTCATTAAGTAAAGGAGTAAATAAATATGAGTGAGCCCCTCAAATAATAATCAAACCTTGTAAAATCCCCCAAATCATAAAGAAGATCGATATCCCTCTCTTTGGTTGGGAAATGTAGCGACTGCATCGTATTTTCCCGTCTTTGGTGCAGATTTTTAAAATCATTAGAAAACTGTGATCTAGGCTCGACAGTACTTGTAGTCAAGTCTGAGCAGTTAATTGTTCGAGACTTGCTAATAAGTGTCTGCTGGAGGATGAAAACACAAAGCCGACACACACACGCACACACACACACACACACACACACAAGATGTTGAACGGTCACTTGAGTGTGAACACAAACACACCTCACCTCTGAAGTTGTGCAGGGTAAAAAAAGGCGCTGGCTTCTGGATGTACATCACTGATACCACACAACTCAGAAGAAGCTGGTGAACATGGAGGATCATTTAAACTCAACCAGTTCCTGTTTAATTCACCAGATGAGCAGCCACAGGCTACAGATGTTTGCCGATGAACAGTTTACTTTCAGCGTTAACTCATGGACTGCTGTTTGTCACCAGCTATTAAATCGGAGGTTTAATATTATTACTTGAGGAAATGTGAATATTTCTTTACTGCCTCAAGGTTTTTATAATCTGCGGAGCCTTTACACAGCGAACGACTACGTGGACATTAATCACTGTCACAGCAGCAGCTTACGCTGGCTTTCAAATGCAGGAAAGAGAAAAGGATGAAAAAAAAATACGACAGGTTGAAACAAAAACACCAGAATTCATCACAGGGTGAGCATTTGAATTTGAAAGCTGCAGTTTTTACTTGACAGCAGTAATTAGCAGGGGGGGGGGGGGTAATTAGCTTTGGCAAGTCTTGCTAGCTTACCTTCAACAGCTAACTGGGCTCGGAAAACCATTTCAATGTTTCATAATAATATTAAATATTTAGATGTTTTAGGAAACCAGTGTTGTTTATTTTATAACAGACCTCGTCTAGTGAAGTCCTTTCATATTTACTTTCCCCTTTATTACTGATAATACTTATTCTATTACTCAACGTATCATTGGAGTAATTTAATTATTTAATACATACCAACCAATTCAGGTCAAAGCACCACTGTGTCTTTTAAACTACAATAACAGTAATATCTGACAACAAACACACACACACAGAAGTGTCTGCTATGGCAGACCGTCTGGTAGCGGGACCCCATAGAGAGTCCTGGTGGCTACTGTTCACACACACAGTGAGGTAAAAGCTCAATATCGACTACAGTGATTGTGGAACCTGCAGCTAAGTTTGTTAAAACGTAATTCTTGTACTCCTTCTTAACCATTTTGATGTTACGTTTTGGCTTTTCAGAGAAGGAAATCACTTTGGAACCACAGTGTGAAGTGTGGACTTCTACTTTCAGCCAGTGAACAGTTCTACTGAATCACCATTGACCAGCAGTGACTGCACTGACCTTAACAGCTCTTAAACAACTAGAAAGATAGATACAATACTATTTCTTACAGTTAGGCTATATTTTATTCACATGTCCTTATTTAACTGATTCACTGTACAGTCGCCATTTCTGTACTGAGAAAAAATCTGTCTGGGTTTAATGTCTGGTTAGATTTGTACTCCTCTTCACTTATTCTTTGACGAAAAGCTCTTAATTTAAATTCTAAATTTATTTATTTTATTGTCAATGTTATTCTAAAATTGTTCTGCTTGTGTTTTGACAACATTTGCCAGGAGCAGGTATTCATCTTTTTTTTTAGCTGGACAAAAATCCCTGCTGGTCTTCCTAAGTCACTGTTCCTTGGCAAGTGTTAGTCCACTGAAGGATAAAAAGATTCAACTCATTGCACCATGAACATTCCAACTCACAATTTAGACTAATTAGAAATGCTCCAGTTGATATTCTCTATTTCAGTCTCTTGACCTTGCAGCTTATTGCTAAATGAAACATTGAAGCCCAGAGGAAGGAGGAGGGACGAGAGAGAGAGACATGTCGAAAGAAAAGAAGAGACGGGGAGAGAGGTGATGGCATTGACAAAAGAGACAGTGACAGAGGCATGAGAACGGGGGTAAAATCGTACTCCCACACACCTCCGAGATGGATTTTGCCATCCCACCGTGCCTCATTCTCCGCTACGTCAATGTCTATCAGAATGAAAATGAAAATCTTTGCGACTCAAATTGGATTTGCACTGATGAAGGTCATTTCATTGGGCAAGAAGAGCAGACTAATTCACGAAATGAGGATTGATTCCGATTGTTCTGCAGCTCACTTCTTCTTCTTTAGTCTCTTATCTTCCTGCACCACAGCCGCCCTGCCTGATGATACCTATTTCCCAGGATACCCAAATAGTCTTTGGCATCCAGACATAGAGAAACGTTGTCTAACTAATCCCCCGGGGCTCACAAATGGAGTGTCTGGCATTACATGCAGCTTTTTGGCCATACAAATGGCAAAATGTGTCTCTGGGAATAGTTTATTTATTCTAGCTTCCATTACTTAAAGGTCACCTGCCATGAAAGTGCTGCTTGTGGAGGAAGCGGTTGGTCCTGTTTGCAATGGATTAATGTTGGAGTTAATGATTATGTTTTTGCAATTCATCTATTCATCATTTTGAGTGTAGAATGTCACAAATTGTGAGAAATCAGAATTCCCCCAAAGTGACAAAATGAAATACCAGACCGAAGGCCGTAATATCCATTTAACAATGATATGAAACGGAGAAAAGGAGCAAATCCTCACATTTGAGAGACTGGAAACAGCAATTTTGCATTTTGCACAATAACTGACGACTTAATCATTTTCTGTAAATCTACAAATTGCAAAAAAAGCTGAATTTGCACCACAAATGATGTTAACAGTATAAATACACATGTTTTCCTCGAGTATTTGACTGCATCTCACCGTCTTGCTGAAATCAAACTACTGTTTTCCAGGTCAAGAATACATTTTCACACTCAGTTAATATTTATGTATTTCCAATAACCCTCAACAACAAATGTGTTCATTTTTTCAAATTAAAATTAAATTAGCTTGACGTCATTACACACAATCAATAACCCAATAAGTTTGTATCACCGTCTTACAATGATTGATCTGAACAATAACATCCAATTATTGGCCAGAGTCCATAATCCTTCTCCCCGAAGAGGAAGAAGAATAAGAAAAGAATGTGTAGAGAACCAAGGAATCCTTCCTAAAAAACTACAACCCATAAATATGTTACAGATTTGCATTTAACCTGGTGTTCGTAAAATGTGTTGCCCAACAGAGGAAGACTACTGTCACTTACTGTAGATTACATCCACACCGAGGTGGATCAATCTGAAAACATCTTGCGTCCACACTAACGTTTGAAGGTCACTTTTTAACTGCCAGCTCAGTGTGGACAGACGGACAAAAAGGAGACAAAAAATGAGCATTTTCCGATTGACCGTCGGCTGAGCGTAAATGTAGTCTAATGCTATGGACACTATTAAGCCCCAAACTGCAGCCCTGTCATTGCCCGTCCTGTGCAGCACGCAAAGTTTAATAGTCGATGTGTGTATGAATGTGGAAACAGGGCAGCGGACACAATTAGATAATCAGGATAGAATCCTCTAGCAAGAAGTCAAAAATGTCAAAAAAATGATCTGCACTCACTCGAAGGGTTCGCTGGGGTCATCCTTCTGCAGCTCCGGAGGGATGGGTATCCGCTTGTAGTACATTTCCCAGTCGAACGCCCCTCGCATGGCGTCCCCCGCCTGCGTCTCGTAGCCAAAGTTGTCGTGGTCGATCACGTCGATCATCGGACACACGATCGTCTTCCTGTTCTGGGCGATTCGGTCTGAGAGACACAGATGCAGGCAGACGGGTTGGTAGACAGTTAATGGCCAAAGATGTAAACTTCAGAAGGGCAACATATGGCAAGTCCATGTTTTTCTACAGTATGAACATACTGTACATTTCACCTAGCGAGGTATGAGGACGACAGTTGAATATCAGATTTGCTTTCTTGTACTTTATCGTCTATCAGGACTTTTTTGCAAAAAAATATGCACATTTGGCAACTCATCACACGGTTACAATAAGGATTCATGTCAGTGCAAAAGGCAGAGTATGGACATGTAATGCTGATATTGTGCGTGCTTTTGTGTTCCTCACCCAGCAGTGGAGGCAGCCAGTTGACGTTGGACTCACAGTGAGAGTCCAGGAAGGTGATGACTTCTCCTTTGGCGGCGCCGGCTCCCAGCAGGCGAGTCCTGATAAGCCCCTCCCTCTTCTTGGTCCTCAGGATGCGAACCTTGGGCAACCTCACCATGTACTCCTCGAGGGCCACCTTGAGGTGCTCTGTGGAGATGGAGACGGAGACGGCGGTGATCAGAACGGTGAATATTGTGAAATGTTTGTGAATGTCACCAAAAGAGCACAATAGAGTCATCGGGTAAAATGGGCCGTAGTGACATTTTACCCGATGACTCCCTTCAAAGTCAGCTTTTCAAGAGCAAGGCTTCAGAAAGTTGTCAACAAATGGCAAAAACCTCACTTCCATGCTCTCTTACAAAGGAGATCAAACGAAGACTAAACCATTAGCAGCCGCCATCAAACGAGACATCTGCCTAGGCCACATGCTGCAGACTGAAATGTTTCCCTGTAGGCCAACATCACACTCTCACTCAGACTGGGAATAAAAAGATCACTTACCTTTCTGCACTCAGATTTTTTTTTTTGTTTTTACATCTTTACTATAGTCATTAGACAGAATGTTACCCTAAAGAGAAAGAATCCAACCGAGAGGAATGACATTAAATCAGCCCTTCATAAAACCTTTTGGTACAAAAACAGTGTTTCAGTGATGCTCACGATGGTTTCAGCAGACAGAACTCACAATGGCCTATGAGGGTATTACAGATACTGCGGCGCCAAATTATCACTTCAGTTTCTTGTCAGTGAGAAAATAACACGACGCAAGAATTTTTATGACATAATTTCAAAAACTCGTGTCGAAAGAGATATTGGTGCAAGGCATGGTAGTCGGTTCAGATCAAAAGTGATTTCAAGTCTTTCTCAAGCTGCAGGAGCCAATAAATGTCCCGCTGCTTCTGCTCGAACAGCAAATATACTGGAAGGTGACAACATACAGAAATGCAGAGAGAAAAGTCAAACCAGAAACTGAAAGAAGGCATTAATCAATCAAAGAGGCGGTTATACATACTACACATTTTTCTCCCACCTCTCCTCAGAGCTGCCTTTGAAAGAAATCAATCCTGCCCCTAAATGGAGCCTGTAAATCTTTCTGCTCAAACGTCAAGTCAGTTCTGACAGGTCAATAAAAAAAAATGGACGCCGGACTCAAGGCCATGTTTCATTCGCTGTCCCACTACTGTTGCCGTGTTTCCAAAGCAGAGACACCGTCGCAGAGAAACACCATGAAACTGATCATCAACCCTGGTCCAGCTGGTTTTGTTTCCCTGACGACTAAAGTGGTATTAGCACTTTATTTATTCATTGTTACGGAGAAAAATCCTAACTGTGATAAAGGCAATTATTTAAATATAAGATATGTGTAAAGGTATCTGTCCAATACAATCCATCATCTCCCTGTTTTTCAATCTCTATTTCAGACCTCAACATGTTGCTTAGTTTTTCTTTAACAGCCTGTCTGGAACACAAACCGTTTCATTTAACCAAAGAGGTTGTCTACAACCGAGAATTTCAAAGTGCAAGACAGGCCTCCCCAGGGGGGCTCCAAACAGTTTCAGAGGAGGCTCAGTGAATGGGAGTGAAACAAATATTACACTAGCTAGTCACAAGAAAATCATGAAAAATAGATTGGAGATGCAGTAGTTTTGTGGAATTTTACTGTTTTTCCCGCTTTCCTTGGAGTCAGAAACTAATAAATGCTGAGGACAAACCTTTTTTATGCATTTGGTGTGCATTCTGGTTATGCCAAACGGCAATATTAGGCTCTCTTGGCTCAATTGTTGAGTGTCTACGGTGTCAAATAAAAACATAACCATGATCCCATAGACAAGAAGTGAGAAAAACTAAACAGGTAAACTAAGGAGGGGGGCTGGCATCAAATGGTCAGATTCTTTGATTGCATAGTTCTCATTAAAGTCAAATGTGGACTCAATTATGAACTTTTTAGAGATATGTTTACATTCCTATAAGAGGGTTATCGGGAAATGTATGGTTTCGATTACAGTTTCAAAACTGAGATATCGTATCGGCACTACACTCTTAATAAATAACTAATAAAAGGGATGGTCCCCGTAGGAGAATCCTGTTTGGTTCCTGGTAGAACCTTTAATAAGTGTTGCACCAGTAACTTTTAAAGAGGGTTCTATCTAGAACCCAACATAGAGGGTTGTACCCAGAACCCCCTATGAAAGGCTCTGCAGAGGAACCTTCTATGTTGTAATTGTTTTACCCAGAACCTTCTCTTGATGATCTATCCAGAACCTTTCCACCTTCGAAGAGTGCTAACCAGAACCTACCCAGGGGGTTCTACCAATGCTTCTAACCATGCTTTTAGTGTCACAGTTTAGCCTGCTGCCATGGGACCCACTTCCAGCAGCCTTGGGCTCCACGAAGCTCCTCAAGGGCCGGTGCTGATGTGGTGCTGCAAAAAACCCCAAACAGTCATGGTTCACAATCACAGTTTTTGGGTGAGTGGGCTGGCAGGATCTTTTCACACCCATGCTCCCAACAATCTCTGGAGAACTCCTTCCAAAAAGGACTCGTTTGATGAAAAGGGCTTTTGAAAGGGACCATTAGTCTAACAAGTCTTCATAAATGGGTCCTTCCGAAGCAAACATCTTTGGATGGAGCCTCGGCCCTTCAGTGAGAACCCTTTTGGATACCCAGCCCGACATATTTTAGCACCATACATGCAGTGTTGGTTATACTACTCTCTTGTTCATATTGATCAAAATAACACCATCTTTATTCTTCAAATAAATGGGGTTACCAACTAACTGCTACTACTACTATTACCAACTGTTCTTCAAAGTCATGTCAGACAGTAAGTTGAAGCATTTTCAAATCCTTGTGCTGCTTTTAAATGCTGACATGAGAATCTGGCGATAATGTCATGCATTTACCTGTCCAATTACCTCGGGCAGATAAATTGTTCTCCTTGACCAAAATACCAGCTTGAACACACACACACACACACATTTCCACTATCAGCGGCCCAATTGTGTAATGCAATGGAAGCCTTCACCCTGTAACTCAATTCTGACACGAAAATATATATACTTCTGCACCTGCTTTTAAACTTCTACACAAAGAAAGTGCGTAAGGCCTCACAAAAAAGGTCCATTATTTGCAGAATACAGGCAGACATTAATAAAATATTGCCTCTGTCGGTGTTCCTCATTGATAGCATGTCTTACAAATGGGCCACTGTCACTGAGCAACCCCCCTCCAACACAACCACCTAATTGGATTCTGAATATCAGAGGAGGGGATGGAGGAAAGGCAGCAGTCCTTTCAAACCCTCTCAGGCTAAACTGCAGCTGTTACAATGACAGACAGAATGCCTTTACCTCTGCACTCTGTTGTTTCCTTCCTGCCTCATTCTGGCTCTCCTCTTTGTCCCTCCCTTGTTCCTTCTCTTCATCTCCGCTCCGTCACTCAGCTCGTCCTTGGCCTGTTTTGATGCCGTTTGGCAGCAGCTGCCTCTCGGGGTGACACGCCTGATTCCGACGGACAGCTGAGATACCGAAGACAGCAGGACCGGCCAAAACCAACAAACACGAAGGCGGCAGGTCCTCAGATCTGTCTCTCCCACTTTCTCCCTCCATCCTTATTTCCCTTCCCTCTCCTGTGATTTATTTTGTAATTAGCCTGATTAAACAACAGCCGATCACCTCAAGTCAAACAGCACCAAAACCCACCATTACTTCCCCGGAAAAGGCAGTCGCAACCGGAGTGGAACTGACTAGACGTTATTAAAGCAGATCAAAACAAATTAGAACAGGGCAGTAATCAAGACCAGAGTGAGGAATGCTGTCTATCAACCTGTCACACAGGCCTCTGCTGGTTAATCCTGAAGGCCCCATTCGGGAAGCAGCCTGCCTGAAGTGGTCTGGTCTTAAATGAACCAGTCACATGTGTTTAAGCTACGGCCAATAGCTTTGTGATAGATGATGGATTATTAACAAAAGCAAAGATAAATCCTTCATTAACATGCAGTGCAGTTGAAAAGTAAAGTGACTTATTTGTAATAAGACAATAAAGATGAGGGCTAATTGTTGATTGGAGGGTGTTTACATCTGCATCGTATTGTGGAAACTGTAGGCCTTTAATAGTCCCCAGTTATATTGTAAGCACTATATAAAGTACTGGTTAACAAGACACTATATTATATTTTCGTGCCAATATACAGAGATTTTTAAGTGTCCTAACTTTAGAAGTTTTCCAGGCAAACCCAACTGGTAGGAGACCGTGGGGTAGAATCCAGAACACACTGGAGAGATTAAACATCTCATCTGGGTCTGGATCCCCCTGGGAGGAGCTGGACAATGTTGCTAGGGAGAGGAGAGTCTGGACTAGCTTAGCTAAGCCTGCTGCCACCGCGGCCCGATCCCGGATAAGCGGCAGGAAATGGATGGATGGACCCTTAAACCTGAAAGTCAGCAACACTGTTTCATTTCAAATCCACTGTGCCGCAGCACACAGACAAAAGCCGAGGTAAGGTAGAATATTAGGATATACATCATTCATACTTTCTGACTGCACTGTGCTTTTAAAGATTCTGTTTGAAACCTGCCCACAGTATGGGATGTGTTGTACTTTTTCGCTTTTAAATATGTATACTGTTGTCTTTTGAATGTTTATTCTATTTAATTTAAAGTAATGAACAAATGCGCTCCTATTGAAGTAAAATAAATAATATATTTTACCTGTATAATTTGTCACCAGTTTGTTTAATAAAAAAAGTATATTCAATTAAATGAATTCACCTGTAAAACTAATATGTAATTATTCTATATTAAACTCATCACAGCATAAATATGTGCTGCGGGGTTTTGACACTGAAACAGAGGCTGAGGGCGTCCATAGAGTCGGTGCCACCTTTCAAGGAAAGGGCGAGCCTTCAGCTTCGACAATAAATCAGCCCGGTGGCTATTAACCAGTTGGAGATTGATTCAGGCTACACTTTTGCCCTACATGGGAGGATTCTTACAGAACACTCCTAATGACAGCCAGTGAGATTAAACAAAGAACATTTGTATTGTATCTACAGCACATTCAGCCAAGGAGAGGGGAGCGGGAAAGGTTACCGCCTCTAATTGTGAATGGTTAATATGACCGGAATAAATTGGAATATGGCTCCTCTG